CCAGGACCTTGGAGCACGGGGCCAGTGGCAGCCAGAAGCCAGAAGCGGTAGCCAGAGCCCCACATACAGAGCCCCAGGTACGGGGCTGAAGACAGCCAGGGCCCCACATGTGGGGCCAGGAGCAGAGCCTTGAACCCCAGGCACAGGCCAGCAGCTGGGACTGTAGGTACAGGGCCAGAAGTGGAGCACTAGGCACTAGGACCTTGGCTATGGAGTGGGATGGGGGTGCTGCACCCTCCCCCCCCACCACCTCTTCCCACACCTCTTGTTCCTGCGCCTGTGGTTGTATCGCACCCTGGCCTGTTCCCAACTTTCATTAAAACTAATAAAAGAAAGTTCTTCTTCACACAGCGTGTAGTCAACCTGCGGAACTCCTTGCCAGAGGAGGCTGTGAAGGCTAGGACTATAATAGAGTTTAAAGAGAAGCTAGATTAATTCATGGAGGTTAGGTCCATAAAAGGCTATTAGCCAGGAGATAAAATGGTGTCCCTGGCCTCTGTTTGTCAGAGGCTGGAGAGAGATGGCAGGAGACAAATCGCTGATCATTGTCTTCGGTCCACCCTCTCTGGGGCACCTGGCGCTGGCCACTGTCGGCAGACAGGCTACTGGGATAGATGGACCTTTGGTCTGACCCAGTACGGCCGTTCTTATGTTCTTAGGCTACAGTGGCAGCTCACCTGGCGCGATGGGGAACGGCGCGAAAGCTCTCAAACAGAGGAAAGTCTCCCCTGTCCACAAGGAGACACGGACAGTACTACAGAACGAGGCGCATCCCCCGCACTCAGCCCGTCGGGACACGAACCATTTCAGACGTCTCTGCTGGACTGGCTCATCAGCGGGAGGATCCCCACGTAGGGCTGTCCTTAAGGCTTATGGGGTCCTCCACGGCGTTATGAAACCAGCGCCCCTCCACCCGACTTGCTCTTAGCAACACCTGCAGAAACTCCCAGTCCCCCGCAGAGACCCCCGGACCCTCTCCTTCCCACTGAACGTGGCATGCTTGGCTCTGCGAATATGATTCCTTCTTTAGGAGACTGCAGCACCCACTGGGTGTGTAGGAGTTTTTTCCTGGTGGTGCCCCAAATTTTCAGGTGCCCTACACAGCCCTATAAGCCTAAGGCCTGCCCTGTCCTCAACCCACCCTGCTGTGCACCCGAACCACTTGGAAACTCCTCCTTGCCCCATTGATTTCCATTCTTCAGCCATGTGGGATACTGGGCAAGGTCTTGTCCCCTGTAACTCCCTGGGAAAAAGGGTGCTCTCCCCCCTCTGCACTTGGAATTGGCACAGGGAACAGATTTACTGCACAGAGCTGAATACCCAGCGAACATGTTCCAAATTAACATGCCACACTTCCAGCAGCTGCACCACCAAAGGGGAAAGTAAGCCGGTGAAAGGTCTGGTGGTGCACTTCTGCACATGCCTCGGCACCCAGAACAAAATGTATTCCACACATGGATGAAAAAATTAGAGGGTACACCCAGTGTGATGTACTGGTAAGAAAGTGGTCAGGGCTCTGATCTAGACCTCTTACCCCTGTCCTTCCCGCACACACAGACCTAGAGCTGAGGCTAAGAGCAAATCCCCAGGTGCACGGGATCAGCAGCTGGGACCCCAGCAGGCAGAGCTGGCAGGAGAGCTCTGGGTGCACGGGGCCTGCAGCAGCCAGGATCAAGATGCACAAGGCCAGTGGCAACCAGGATCGGCTTGTGCAAGGCTGGCGGCCACAATCCCAGATGCTGGGCCAAGAGCTCAGAGGTTCTGGATTAGGACCCCAGGAATGACACAGCACCCCCTGCACCTTCAGTCCCCCCTGCCCCGCCCATGCCTGTGAGTGCTGCCTTCACAGCTCCCATTTGGCTGGGAACTGAAGCAGCACAGGTCAGGGTGACCAACCAGGACCACCCAGTCCAGAGCTTCCCCATCCCACGCTCCATCCTATGCACACCTACCTAATCTCCTGCCCTGATGCTTGCACCCTCACTCTCCTTTCCCTGAGCCCTGCACCCTCCAGCCCCCTGTCCTGAGCCCCCCTTGACCCCAGCCCTCTGCCCTGAGCCATT